AATGGGGGGGGGGGGGTTCTATATGCATTGAAAAGCAAGATGCGGGATTAAAAGTTTTATCTCGAACTCAAAACCTTTTTATTTCAAATATATAAGGTATCGACCAAAAATCAGACTAGCAAGAATAATCACACGAAAAGGCCACGCAGAAATTAATATGGACAGGAACAGACAGTGCCGAGTGTTTTTTACCATTTAAAGGGTCTCTTTGACTGAAGGAATATATTGTATTTCTTTGTATCAATTAGGGTATTACGAGTCAGAAAACACAACGGATGATGATCTAATTGAATTTGAGGCAGGAATAGCCCTATCCGAGTCTGCCATTAGAGGAGTCAACTACAGTGCCACCATTAGAATCATCCTAAATGACACGGAGGCATGGAGTTCTGACATATCTTTGACTGCTGGATCTCCTAATAAAAATGTTGGTGATTATTAATATTTGTTTAATAAGATCTAGCATTGTATTATTATATACGTACATTCTTATAAATTTACCAATCCAAAAAAGGCATCTTAAAAATGATTAAACGACAGGAATTTTAGTGTGGCACCGATCATATCTACTCCCTTTGCTATGTTCATTTATAAGCTATATCTCACTAAAATCATGTAAAATCACATGTCAATCGTAGTAATTCGACATAACAGCATGATTAATATAACTTACACATTTTTCATAAATTTAGTCTTTGTATCAAACATCAAAGCCACAATCTCCCCTTTCATTCTCTTTATTATCAAACATGGCATTTCTTACAAATATCACAAACTTATTATTTTTCTAGCCTGTGTCAGATTCATTGAATCAGACAAAATCATGCTTTGTATTTTTTTTTTACATAATCAACTATGAAGTACCGGTACTTTCCATAGCCTTGTTTCAATATTACTGATAGAAAAATTCCTGTTTCAGAAAACGTGTCAAGTAGAAATAAGTGGAACCTCTAAACGTGAGTTATCACCGTCCAGCAATACGTCATTTACCCTAAAGATTGTAACACCTCAAGGAACATCAGACACCGTTAGTCTGAATATTTCTACCTATGAGATCACAGGTTCAAGAGATACCGCTCTCGTGATCGAGAAGATCGCATTAAAAAATACTGACACCTTGTTTCCTTGCAATTGTTCCTCATTAACAGTGTCCTACAATAAAACTGAAAATTCTCCCATTCAAAATTTAGCGTTTGTAACTCTGTCCTATATCAACTCTTTAGCACACAAAGATTCAAGAAGCGTTAGTCTCATTGTACAAGTGCGCGTTGATCCAGGCACAGCTAGATTTTGGGATACATATGTCCTATCGGCAGTTACTGACAAATCAATTTCGAAGTTTAATATTACAGTCAGTAAACCAGAAATTTTTCATGACACGAATGGGGATGTTTTATCAAAGTTTAACAAAATATTGGACGGAAATGAGAGCTCTTGTTTACACTTACCAGTCCTGGGTGAAGTTCCTCCATTATTCTGGGTGAAAATGAGTACTACATGGCTTAACATTTCTTCTTCTGAATACAATTTTACAGTTGTAGGAGTACATATATCCTGTAGGCCTTATGGACAAAGAATTCTACAGGTATGGAATTAAGACGTTTTTTTAATTATTTTTAGAGGATAACGTCACAAATGAATCGTTTAAATAAAAACGTATGTTTATTATTTTTTGCAAACATATTATTTCTTCTTGAGAAAACCTTATCAAATATTTGAACGTTATCTGATATTTGAACCCTATCTAATATCTGAACCCTGTCTGATAAATGAATCTCACACGCATGAATAACTCTCCATCGTATGAAGTGTTGTGTATTTGCCTTTTTCCCTAAGTATCATCATTTATGAGATAGATCGATCAACTAAAATAGAAATTAAGAAAGGGAATTTGGGAGATATGCTTCAAAAATACAGTTTTATGAACACTTCAGGTATCCTTTCCCACAAAGAGTTCCAACAACGGATTTCACGGAGAACTGAGATTTTGTAGTTTGACGTTTGAAGACTTCACTTCATATGGAAATCTAACAAAATGTGTCTACAATTGTAAATGCAGAAATACCATGGAATGTGGCGAATTGGTTTTATTTATGGGAAAGCACGACAATATTTTAGCGTGGGGTCTATGTGAGCTCTATGCAAAAAATGTAAATTAATCATAGGCTTCTTTGATTGTCTACGAAAGTATAAAACTACGTTTTCCTTATGATGGCTTTGTTATTTCTCTCAATTCCAAAATTGAACTGGAATGATATGATTTTTCTCTGTATTTTAGTAACATTGATTTTGTTGTATAAATGGATATTAAATCTATATACGTCTAATATAATATTGTTTAAGGTTATTTAATTAAAAAAAGAAAACGAAACGAAAAACATAATCATATTAAAGCCAATTTTGGAAACACTCAAATCATATCAATGTTTATTCCATATTAGATGTCTACCATGACATTTTTTATTCAAAAATATAACAAGTTCAAGACCTGGTCGCAACTAACTAAAGAGAGAAGGTATACCTCGATTATGTTTGCTAAAAATAAATTTTCAAGTGAATATGAGGAATATTATATTTCAGTCTACATAAACAAAGAATTACTAAACCAAAAAAGAGACTTTATTTACTTTTAATAAAAATGATAGAATTGATTTTAGAACTTTTAAAAAAAAATTTCCCCTAAAGCAATTCCTTTCATCTTGGTTATATGTTAGAACGGTTTATCAAAATATTTTTTTCTGAATAAACTGATAATAAAAAAAATGATAAAATTGATCGTAGAGTTCTTTTTATCACCCCCCCCCCCCATCCCAAGGCAATACCTATGATTTGGTTATATATTAGAATGGTTCATCAAAATACTTTTTCTCTGAACTTTTTATTTAAACACGAGAGAAATTAAGGAATTAATAGTATTTGTTGATAGAATAGTTAGATCGTTTACAAATCTACATTAAGCTCCACGCAAGACAGAGGTAATATTCTTATTATTATAAGAGCACAGAACTCAAATCAAATGTTTACTATTTTTTACAGTACATAATGAGTGTAGCACAAAAAATCGCACACAAAAGTGTGCATCATTAATACCGAATTTCTCTTTTCCATTAATCATGTATGAATTTAGTTTCTCAAGACACACACTATCAAATTAACTTTTTCGTCATTTTAAATCATCACTCGTAAAGCATACAAAATAGTCCAATGATTTGTCCAAAAATAAAACATTGCTTACTGAAGATTTGATTTTAAAAGTAAGGATGTGATTTATTAGAGGTTTCTTTATTTTCAATGACCTTTCTGATGAATTTCAATTCAAATTGAAGGATATCTTAGAGATATATGAAAGATAACCTTTCTGATGAAATTGAATTCCAATTCTGTTAGAGATATAAGAAAGAGTCATCGGTTCTTAACCGTTTTTTCTTTTAAATTTGGATTAGTTTTTTATCTATGCTGATCGGGAAAGCGCATACATATGTTTACATTTTTCATTGATTGTTGAGCAATATCGTTCTTCAATATTACTGAAAATATTTCTTATCAAGATATATAGTATATACAAATGTAAAATGAAAATTAAAGCTGTAAATTTAATTACTTTCAAAATAACTTTCTGCAATACTGGAAGGATTTACCTCCCCTGTGGTAACACTTCTGCAATATTTGACAATACTGGGGTTAACTCTCCTGTTAATGGCAGCCCCCGGTTGTAATTTGCAAAGCTTGTACTTTAAACATTCTTGTTGAAAATTATATCATCACAGCCTTCGCAATAAATGAACATATGAGTGTACGAAAGACACCAGGGTATATTGGCAACTGTTAAACTGCTTATAAAAACAGAAATACCAGAATCGATGTCTGCTTATGTAGGATACATGGAGTAACAACGTTAGGTATAATGACATTGGGCTAAAACAATGATTTATTGATACCTTTTAGACAATTTATTTTCATTTTTAGAAACTCCGTATTTGCTTTGCAAACTGGACTAGCAATGGTCATGGGGAGAGGGAGCTCATATTTTTTAACGATTTGTGGTATTCTATTGCTAATTTGCTGATGTACACCCTCAATAATTACGTCTGATGACCTTTTTTCTTGTGCCCCAAACTGAATTTGCTTCCTAATGGCCTTGCTGGATAAATACAACATATAAAATGTTATTTTAAATCGTAATGACTTTTTAAAAAATTATGTTCTCAATAAAAATAAATATTGCACTACCTGCGACATTAGAAGAACTTTTATTAGAAAATAACTTGTTTTTGGGACTTTGAGAAAATTATTTAGCATAAAGGAGGATATTTTGAAATTAACTAACTCATTTTTAACATAGGGAGCGTGCCTTTTTTTTATTAAGGAAAAATCTTCAAAGACAATGAGGTAATAGAAAGGAAAAATTGCCTTCAATTCGTCAAATGGATAAAATACATGCAAATAAAGTTTTCAAATACTCTATCTTGGTCTAATATAATGTTTAGAATACTTGGATTTATTTCAAATTATGTGATTTAGTTCAGATTACAATTTATTCTACTTGTATGTCAAATGGTAGGTCAGTCTAATTACACAAAAGTACCCTGAAAATAGGATGCAGTGTAGAGAGGGTCCTTAAAGGTATAAAGTTCACAAATACTGGATTTAAAATTACACAACAGATTAGCAGGTACTGTATTAATTTTTTTTTTACGATTAAGGATTACCTGCAACAGTCATTGCATCTAAAGGTCATGGTGCAGTTCAATTAGCCTGTTCAACGACCTTTGTCTGCTAAAGCGCAATTTTTGAGGTGGTTGACTTTCCTAAATACTTACTGAATGAATTTTAATTTAACAACTTTTAATTTGATATCTAAGATTTTAAAGAGAACCCTTTATTCAATGTCTTCCTATTTTAGAATCACATTGGATTATATATCACAAGATTTTTTTCAATTGATGCTCGCATCAGCATGCAAAAATACATATTCTATATCATCATTCAATTATTTGATTTCAATCTGAAGAAGCATAAGAAAAAATAGTAGTCGTTATAACAAATTCTAAAGATAGAAAAACCCAAAAGGAGAAAAAGTCTATTGCAGATGAAACATCGTTCCACGTTGTTTCTAGCTCGGACTCCTCTTCTTCCACATTTTCCTTTTCTTTATCTCGCTTTCTCTCTCTTTCTTTGACATCGATTCTTTTTATTCGAGTTTTCAAACAGTTTGCACACTTTCCCGAGAAGCATCCTAATTCTGAACCATTTTTGATGGGTTCACATCTGAGACGTCTTTCTGTTTGTACCAAAGAGTGATATGCCCTTCCTATTTGCCTTTTAGAAGATCTGTGGTGTAATCGAAGTTGCAAAGAAGTAATCATGAGAATTAAAACAGAAATTATTAGCTGTATTATCAAATATATGCTTAAAATGGAAACGCTGTCCGAATTTATAGGCAGTTCACCACTAACCATCGTTAAGAAGACAGCAAATGTAAGAAATATAGTCACAGCAAAACCCATCTTTTCACCAGTGTCGGCAGGGATTATAAACACAAAAAGATTCAAAATGTTTAGTAGAAGAATAGGGAGGATCAAATTTAAGACATAATACAAAGATTTCCGACGAAGATTGATAACGAACGTTACGTCTGTTTGGGAACTTAGCAAGTTGAATGTCGCGTCAGTTGACGTCACCTCCCAGACGCTGTTTGGTACAAATTCATAAAATCCAACCTTTTCAGCAGAAACTGTCAAATTTATTTCCCATCTAGTGTAACTCCACGTTTTGAAGATAATATTGCACGTCTGTTTATCGAAAGGATAATGTGATATATCGATGTCGCATATGGATTCAAATACCATATAGGGGTACCAGTGGATAGTACCGTCATAGTCCACAAACACATAGTAGAATTTCCCACCGAGGGGCTTGAATTCAGTGAACCCGTTCTTCAATACAAGGTCAGGTATCCAGAGGTCATTCTACAAGAGGCAACGAAACCTTGTTCATAAAATGGGATTTTCTTTGAAAAAAATGGAATTTTTCGATCAATTCTGATATATTCGAAATGAATAAAAACTATTCAAAACACACCTGTTTCGTATAAAGAACAAATAATTGGATTCATACATGGTCGACAAGACACACTGCATTTGCATACATCATTATTTTTCATGGAAAAAGACGTTAAAGCCAAAAATATCATTTTTTGTCATGAAGTATATACACATATTTAATAACTACATCGGGTTGGCGACGGCTGTGACCGGTCACAGGGGTGAGGAATCCTTGTAGGCACCTTATCCCACTTCTGATGTTTCCAACGGTCCCTGCTTTTGCCCTGTTTACGATTCGTTTTGTCTAATATTTTTATGAGATTGACCACTGTTCGTTATGTTCATCTTTTACATGAAAGAATACTTGGAGTTTATTAGTGTAAATTTATTTAAAACTGAGGCAGCTATAAATTTCTTAACTTAGTAAAAATGTTATTTTCTTATCAATTTTAGAAAAAAAGCAAACCTGATTAAACTGAATCCAATAGATCCCCGTGTTTGCAGAATTCCAGGTAATTATTTCATCTTTCCACTTGACATTTAGGTAAGCTGTCGTCACCATCTTCTGATTCACAGCACTGACGTCATTAATACTGGAAATCCATAAACTCATCTGCATTTGTAAAGATTGTCCCTGATTCTTGATTGGACGGGTCTTGCTAGAATAATTAGCAAGGAGAGAATCTCTCAAAGTATTGTATTGTTCTATGGTGTATGAAAGATGGGTACATCTTACTATCCAAACAGTCATGAAAATTCCAATCAGATGAATCCAGATCATTTTTGATGTTTTGTGAAATGACAGGGTTAGCTACAGTAGTATATAAGTTGATTACGTAGAGTTAATCCATTTAAATGCCTTAGGAGTGCGAAATCGTTTACGATTGGAAGGATTTAAATATATCTCAAGACAAAATCTTTGTTATAATCTAGAGAAATTAACCTTTGTCATTTATTCTTAAAGTTATGAAAAATCAAATTTAAACAGTAGTAGACTAGTACTACCATTATCGTACAATATAAGCAAAGTAAATTGTCTAGAAGAGTATTCATTTTCTCATTGTAATAATACAAGTTTTATTTTATTTATTTTTTCTTTTGGCCCGGCTGATCTCATTGTGCAAATGTTCTAACTTGATTTAGTCTAACTTTTTAAAATTAATATCTATTCAATGAAATTGTTGAAGATAACGAACAGTGATCGATCTCAGAAAACCAACAAAGAATACAAATCGGTGAACAGGGCATAAAACGCGGACCCTGGTTCGGTAAATTGACTCACTTTCGTTTTCTGGAATGTTTAAAGTATGAGAGACTGAAATCGGAATTTTTTTTTTGATTTTTATCCCTAGACAGTGAATTGTGAATATTGGTTGGATTTCCAAATATAAAATTAAAACCATCTTGTCTGGTGTCTTGTTTCAAGCAGTGTCAGCTGAAACCCTACCGTTTTGTACATGTAGTGTTCCCAAATCTTTTAACACGTCCCATTTAGTAAAAACGGAGGTATAGAAGGTGCATTTGCCCTTTTTAAATTTCTAACTTGATTTTTAATGTATTTCTAAAATATTTAATCCATTCTGATAAAGAATAAACGGCTTATCTTTAATAAATAGCCCATAGTCTGGCATAATCCTCGATATAATTGATATTAGAAATAAAGTTCTATAGCCATTTGAAAGAGTGGGACTCTCCGTATTTAGGAACTTTTAAAATGACCGAGAGCGAACGTTCGCGAGCGCTCTCCAAAATTCCTTATCTCTTCAACAGAAATGTTGGCGAGCGCTCGCGAACGTTCGAGCGGTTGAACAGGCCTCTGTATTGTACCTGAAGCAACCTACGTAGATGTGTTCCCACATCGAAGAAGTTAAAACTTACAGTTCTTGATTTTTTAAAAATGGCCATGATGACTTTGTTTGATAACCTTATTCAACATCGCGGTGGTTCAGCATGAAGTCTGTGTTATTTTTTAAAAACGCTAATCAACATTGTGGCAGTTCAGCACGACTTATGTACAGGGGACGGAAACTAGAATTAAGAGACTCATAAAAATAATCATATACATGTAAATTTCCATAGGTTAGTATACGGTGAATTCAAATATAATGACCACCAAATTGAACTTTATAAAAAATTCAACTACTCATAACACACTTTTCACTTAAACATGTATCATTATATTGTACGTGCATTCTACTTAAATTTCCTGGAGTTTCAATAGAATAGGCAGTTGGATAAAAAAGTTTCAGAATTTTTATTAGTAAAACTTTATTTGAAAAAAGAAAATATTACTGCACCCTAAAAGACTTTTTATGCTTCAGAAGGTATCAGGGATATAAATGATTAGATCTAAACCTTGATTGAGTTTCTTCGCTTGTTTATGTTGAAAAAATTGGCTTTTTGATTGTTATTTTACATTATTTTTTTTTCAATTCTGATTTGAAAAGTTTTAATTTGAAGAAATATGAAACAATAGAATTCCCCCCAAATCATTTTTATCCATTTAAATCAGTTCTTTAAACCTAAGCGAAAAACGAATTTTGATATACAAGTTTTCTTGAAAAAAAAATACTAGATTTAAAAGTGACGCTATTTACATTATTGTCTTGCTCTCCTTTTACATTATTGTCTTGCTCTCCTCATATCTGATATGTATTTTATTTAACATTGTTTTTAAAATTATAACATGCGAAAATCCCATTCCTAGTTTGTAAATCAGTTCGTCGTATTGATATTTTTTTATCATTTATAGCAAGTTTTTCATATTTTCAGCATTCAAAACATGATTATTTGCAATGTGTAATATATGTACATTGTATTTAAAAATATGTGTTAAGCGATGAAAACTATTCTCTGGATTGATTGTAAAATATCTGTAATTAGTTGATTAATTTATGTTTCTAACATTTTTGTTGCACTCCTTACCAAGAGCAGGAGAGTCTTTAAAGTAGAGTTGTGAAGCAAAAATTACATCAGAACTTGTTCTGTTGTTTCAGTGAAGGTGGAATTACTTGAATTTTATAACAATTTTTCAGTGTGCATATTTTTTACACTAAAAAAAAAACAACAAAGAATAGATAAAAAACAAAACAAAACACACACACAGCTGTGTTAATAAAATTGAGAATGAGAAGATTTTAATGATAAAATTGTCAATAATGTAGTACTAAATTATTCAATTAGATCATTATTAACTAAACTATATTTCTTAGCATGAATAGAAGTCTTTTCATAATGTAAATTGAATCTTTAAAAAAATGTCTCGGACTCCTTAACATAAAAATAAAGATCTGAAACACAGACAGACCCTGTAATTGATAAATATATTTGTAAAAATCCTCTTTATGTCTTTATTTTCCAAATAAAAACCAGAGAATCATATACTGATAAAAGATTTTTCATGTTGGGGAGCAAAACATCAAATGTTGCACTCCTTATATTATTGGGTATGCACAGATACTTGACTCTTAATAATGCTGCTTGTGATTTATAGAACATTTTTTAAGTTTGAAATTGTGTATCAGGTATATAATTGTTTTACACTTTGAAAATCCTTTTTTGACTTAATTGCCTTTCAAATGTTTAGAATCGATGGTTTTGGGCAACACTACACTTTTTCTGTTGCAATCCTGACATGGTATAACATTTTTTCAACATCAGCCATGACTACAACTTGGTCAAACAAAACTTGCTACAGACTACATTTAAAGCTCAACACTTTAAATATTATCAGGAAAGTCTTTATTTCCAACACATACCATTATTATTTATTTCACAGATCTTTTAAATATGTTCAATTCTCAAAATGTCACAAAAAGGTGTTGCACTCCTGACATTTTTAGCATCATTTTTGGGCATAACTATTTTGTGAATTGAGATATCAATGAGATATTTGGCAGGTATTTAGACACTATCTAAGGACATATGCTGAGACATAGAACATTATTCCCATTCCCTGCATTTTTAGTGCAGGCTGATAAATTTGTGTTTGGTCATTTTTTCATTCACCCTATACTAAATTGAGCATTTAAATGCGTAGGACAGAACAGTAATTTTTGCAAATCTTTCCGAAAATTAATTTTCGTAATACGAGGGTGATCAAAAAGTTCGCGATCTATCTCTATATTTACAAAACCACAATTCAAATCAGGATTAAATTTGGCACACAAATAGTCATAAACATATTCTATAAATAGTATATGTCATGTAATGTTTTGGTCCAAGTTTATGACGTCATAATATGAAAATGACGTCAATATGCAGGTGACTTGTGACGAAAAATGGGTTACTCAGTCTCACTAAGGAACGGCTATATAGAGTTTAACGTAAATCTTGAAAATTCCTTGGAAGTGGTATATGTTAATTTGTACATGGTTTATGAAGACTAAGGACATGCAAGGATATCAATCATTAATTGGATTGATTGTTTTATTGAAGGAAGGGAGACGGTTAAAATGATGCTCGTTGTGGTGCCAAGTGAAAGTATGCTGGGAAAGAGATGTGTTATTAGTTGAGCAATTTGTTATGATAAATCCTTAAGTTACAGTTAGAATAATACTTGAATATCTGAACAATAAAATATAAATTAAATCCCTGTAAAAATCATTTACTTCAGATTTAAAACATATCAGATATGATAAAGAGAACTCGCTCATACTTGATTCACATTAAGAAAAAAACGATGCATACAAGACAGAGGAGTTGGGTTGTGATGGTCACCATGCTCATTCTGGTAAAAGATATCCTTATCCACCCACCATTTTCCCAAGATTTGGCCTTTGTGACAAATGGACTAATTCTTGTTATAAAAAATAACCTGCATGGTAAGAAGTATAAGACTCGGAAAAATCTTTTAGCTGCTGTGAACAGAACACTACAGAGCATGTCACGTGACCGCCTGGACCACGCATGGGCAGAACAGAGGCAGATGTGCATTTCACCCGGAGGGGACTACTTTAAAAAATAATACACACTGAACCCTAATTTTATTTCTTTTATGGAAGTAATTCAATTAGTTCGCGAACTTTTTGATCACCCCTCGTAGCTTTTCATCTCTATTTTTTTCTTTATTACTAGTTTTTACCTCAAGACTTTGGAGATTTTTAAAAGAATAGATTTTTATTATTTTTGTTTGTGTTTGGTTTGGTTTTATTTTATTTGAATTTTTATGTATTATTTATTTATTTAATCTATTTTTTTGTTTGTTAGCTTTGTTGCCCTACTAACAGATTATTGATATATTGAAAAACCATATAAAATTCAAAGCATATACCTTTTAATTTTTTGGGGGGATAAACAAAGCAACAAATTAAGACATCGTCATTTCTCACCCATTGGTCTTTTCATGAGCGACTCAGTTCTATCTCTTTAGCGAAAAGAAATAAATAATTAATAATAATTCAATAATTATCCTGCAATTATGCAATCAACTGTAGTTGAATCCCCTGCAAATAAAACCGCCATTTTCCTTTTTATTCATTGATATTAATTAGATTTTTCCGTTGATTCTTATGAGTGAGGGGTTTTGAAATCGTAGACGGCACGATCTTTTAGAGAGTCTTTCAAGGAAATACTCTTTTTATCGGCTCTATGTATACGTTTACCTGGTCAGCTTATGAAAACGTGCTCATCACAGTGGAATAAATAAAAATATATTCCAACTTCTAATCTCTTCAGGGAGGATTTCATTAAGAAAAGGAACACACATTCTTACAAGTTCTCTCACCCTATCTGCTGATATTTTTTTTTTTATCTACATTAGAATTAAAATTTAGCATTAACTCAATTGTAATATTAAGAAAAGTAATTATCGCTACTGTCATTCTTACAGATTTCTTAACCCTTATGTAAGACTGTTTTATAGTCTTGTATATAGTATTCTGTGAGAGTATCTCACTACTATAATTGGACATAAAGGTGTTCGCTAGAGATCTATATTCGTCCATCTTGTAGGAAAACAGGACGGTCCCGATAAGTAAAAGGCAATTAAAAAGCTTAAGGTGACAATAAGAGCCCAGTTAATTATACAAGAAAACTTGGTTGTATAATTTCCATTCGTGGTCATTTGGTCATTAAAATGCGTAGACTTATCAAAATCTATAATCTGATTATCAACTAGTCATTGATAATCTGTTCACCATGACATTGCATGCTAAATATAAATCTTAATTCCCTTTAAGCTCTTTTTAACCCGCGGAAGTTTTGCAGTTCAGCTCATTAAAGAGAGAATCTTTCATTTTTTTTCTTAAACAAAGCAAACCTAAAGCGCTTAATTTTAGAAAGTGCAAATAAATGCTACGTGAACATACAGTGTACCTATACATCTAATATAGTCTAATGATATGAATTGTTTTTATCAGAAAACTTTTCTAGGTCTACTTTTCATCAGATAAAGATTTGCAGATTCATTCTATTAGAAAAGGAGTTAAAAATTATGTTTGACGCCCTTTGTATATACAATAAAACACGCTTATATCGAACACGCTTATAATGAATTGACGCTTGCAGCGAATTGATTTTCTTTCTCCATGCCTTTAAACTCTATTCTAACGTATATAACAAATTACATTTATTACGAATCAAAATCAGCTGTCCCTGACACTTCGTAATAAGCGTGTTTTACGGTAGTATGATGTCGAGTATAAATCAGGTATTACTGTACATGTAGTACAGAATTCTTTAATTGCGAATATCGGAAACAGTTTGTTTTGAACTGTTTTATTAAAGCTAAAAAGCAGCGAGATAAATATCATTTGTGCATGTACAGCGGCGGATCATATTATTACGAACAAAATGGTGGCAAAAAGTCTGGTGTAATATCAATAATTCTGAACACCTGTAACTTTCAACTAATTGTTTATGTCAATGAATTAGGTGAAAAGGTAAAATTATTTAATTGTCAATGATGGCTTAATGTAATTCATAGCATAATTCGGTCTATTATTTTATTCTTAACACCAGATGGGGAAATAAAAAAAAATATTGTCACCGAACTTTCAATAAATTATCATGAATTTTTTTTTTACGAGGTACAAAACGGTAAGATATTGCAAAAGCCTTGGATTGAATAGATCATTAGTAGGGACTGTGATAAAACAGTTATATATGGGGTAATGTGGAAAACAACCCAAGATCATGGAGGAAGAAAAGGTTGAGAGAAAAGGACGAACAATCTTTATTTCAGCGCCTTAAAAATCGCATTGATATTACGCCAAAATGTAAAGAAAACAGGGAAATCCTGCATCTGCACACTGTAAAAAAACATTTGTTGGGTCTCAGATATAATATTAAACAAATATATTGTTTTACTCATTTCTAAACACGTTAAGATTTTATGTGTTTAGTTGCTAAATATGTTACTTCCTTAAACACTTACCAATTAACAGTTTTTGTGACACTTTTTTACGCGTTTAGCTCTAAACACGTCTTATTTATAAAAAAAAAAAAAAAAAAAAAAAAAAAACAACATTAAGACATTAGGTAGTAATAAGCTGCTATACATGGTTAATCCCTTAACGCTGAAGTGATGTACTTGGCTCCAAACAATTGTTTAAATGATAAACGATTAAAGAAAAACTGAATAGTTTGTTTAGTTCTCAACAAATAAAAACAGCAGAACATATAAAGGATACACATACAAAACAAGCGTTTAATTAAAGATCCCTTGTTTTATTAAAAAATATATATCTGATAATAACAATGCATCACTAAATTTAGTAAAGAATTTTAAATTGAAGGCTAGTATATATTTAAAAAAATACATGTTTTTACAGTTATTACAATACGAATCAGCTGCAGACAGTTCTCATGACAGTCACGACCATTTAATCTGAATATAGTTCAGCGCCTTCTTTACCTAATATGAATTAAACTCCATCAATAACTGTCAAAAACAAATTCATTTTCAATGAACATGAAGGTTTCTATGGTAACCAAATCTGCCGAATTAACTCAGCAGTCGTCACAAAAATCTTTCTTATAGAATGTAAGAAGTGCTGAATAATGAAACAACGATTGCACTTGACCTTTAGGATGACACCAGCTACTCTGATACACGTGTTTTCGATCTGGAACACTTATATTAACCTGTATAGAAAAGAAAGCTAGATTTTATTAAAATTATGTTCTTCACAGAAATTTTACATGTGCACATTAATCTGATAAACTTTACTGACCAAGATGTAGTTAATCAAAATAAATATGGAGATAACGAACAGTATTCAAGCTCAAAGTTCATTTAAGCAATACAAATCGGGAGCAGAGCAGAACCCGGACCTCCAAAATTATTAGAGGTGGGATTACATGCCATAGAGGAGTAATCATCCCCTGCCGACAGGACACACCCGCCGTGTGCTCCTTGTCATAATCAGGAAAAACGGGAAAATCCGTAGACAGTTCAGTATGCAAATAATGGAGTAACAATTAGCATGAAAAACGCCAGTCAGCATTTGATTTAATGATAGGATGTATTTGCTGACAAGGTCATTGTATCGACCATAAAACATGCAAAATGATGACTTCATCCGAATGCACTAATGACTGTAGTATAATTAGTGCTTTGTTGTGGTATTAAGAATGTCTTTTCTTCACATTATCAAGATTTATTGACCTTGTGTGGAAGAAGAGGGAGGAAGAGTGAGAGAAAGCATCTAAACGAGGGATGATGGAAGGATATTTAGAGAAAGAGGGAGGGATATTGAGAGAAAGAAGGGGCATGATTGAAAGAAAGAAGAAAGAAGAGTTTGAGAAAGAAGAAAGAAAGAAAATGAATAACAGATGACGGAGAAAGAAAAATTCTAATATGTTGAGGCATATGTAAAAACAACCGTTGAAATAATAAATTCAAATATCAGCAAAATCCAGAACGCGAAAAAATCTATGGCAGACGACACATCGTTCCATGACATTTCCGGTTGGTTTTCTATTTCTTCCATAGCTTCTTTCTCTTTACCTTGTCTGCTTTTAAGGTATCTGTCATCAACCTCTATAACCCGATTGCCCACACAGCATTTACACTTCTGAAGAAAACAGCCCGACTGTGAGGAATTTTTTCCGCCTTCACATCTCAAGCGCCTTTCCATTCGTACCAAAAAGCAGAATACTTTTCCTATATTTCTCTCTGCAGTTCTGTGATGTAATCGGAGTTGTAAAGAGGTAATGATGAGAACAAATATGCCTATACACAGTTGCACAATTAAATAAACACTCAAAATTGAAACATTGTCCGAGTTTATCGGAAGCTCGCCGCTAACCATGGTCAAAAACACAGCAAATGTGAGAAATATTGTCACAGCATAACCCATTTTTTCTCCGGCATCGGCTGGAATTATAAATACAAGCAAATTCAAAACGCCAAGAAAAATAATTGGAAGGATCAAGTTCATGACGTAGTACAATGGTTTTCGGCGAAGATTTATTATGAAATGTACATCTGTTTCGTAAGCTGATACGTCATATGTCGCATCTGTTGACGTCACTTCCCAAACACTATTTTCTACAAATTCGTAAAATCCGACCTTGTCTGCTGAAACTGTTAGGTTGATTTCCCATCTGGAGTAACTCCATGTCTTAAAGCTGACTTTACACGACTGTTTGTCAAACGGATAATGGGAAATATCAATATCACACGATGATTCAAATACCATGTATGGATACCAATGTACAGTTCCGTCATAGTCCACAAACACATAGTAAAATTTACCTCCCAGGGGTTTAAATTCTGTGAATCCATTCTTTAAAACAAGGTCAGGCATCCAAAGATCCTGCTACAAAACATGAACAGCAAAAGTTGAATTTCAAAAAGTCTTACATTCTATCAGTTTCTTCATTTACTTCAAATAAACATGTATTTTGTTTCAGAAATTGTAAAATGCAAACGTATTTCTTTCAGATTGAATAAAATCGTATTCTTCATTCTAATATGAATATTTATGAAAATGGCCTACATGTTCTCAATTTTCTGCAGGAGAAAGATAATTTTGGAAAATAGACGATGAACAAAGTATATTAAGTCGCATTTTTCTCCTGGTCTCTGAGCTATTTTTTTTTATTTCAAATAAATAATTAAGTAGAAAGATTTTCGTGCAAGCAATTCATAAAGTATAGACTTATCTGTTTCTGTAAGTTAACATTTCAATGATTTGATTATCATTGAAGCAGTGCTTACGCAGATATTTTATCAGGATTAAAAATAAAAACTACGAGCTAAAACGGTTATTTGAGTCATTTGACGCAGCTCTTTCTTTAATTTTTTCAAAAAATGTGTTCCCCCTTTATTCAAGTGAAATATTTTGACCCCATATATGGCCCCTTAATTCCCTAATGAAACAAGCAGGTCCCTTTTTCTTTATTTGAAATATAAAACCTTTGTTCAAGATATTATTTCAAAATGTTCTCGTTTTTAAGATATCACGAATAATGTCTCAAAAAAAACCCAAAAATGACTCATGTGTCGTGTCGAATCTTAGAGAGCTTTCATAACAGGCACTTCCGGAAAATTTGAGAACCCAGATGCATTACAAAACCATATCGTCTATCATCACTGAAAATTTCAGCTCTCTAGCATAAGCCATTTTGAGTACTGTGGCAGTCAAGAGGTCGACTCATTTCCGATTAAAGGTTGACAACATCTGACCCGAAGTAAAGTTTTAATTTTTTCAACTTGCACAAGGATTAGAAATTGATATCTTTAAACGTATCAAAGAAATTTATAAATTCAAAAAAGTTGAAAATTTTCATTTCATAATTGAAATACTTTTTTAAAACTCGAGTTATATCTGCGAGTCGCAGAATACTATTCCCGAAAATCTCTGTTTTAGTAGTTTTGGGGGAGTAGGACCAACACAAATAGCAGCAAAAAATCTAAAATATGTCATATTTTGCGACCGGAAGTGAATTATCAAAATTGAAAAAAAGTTTCGAGAAACATTACTACCTATCATTTATGAAAGTTTCATGAAAATTTATGAAACAGTCCTTGAGTTATCGATTAAGAGATATATTGTTCACAGAAATATTCGATTTTTTTTTTACCTTTGATAGATTTAATTTATTTTATATATTTAATTCTCTTCGATAATTTCCGTTTGTTCTAGTTATGCACATGTACTTCATGTATTTTATACTGTAATCTATCCATTACTATTTGTAAATTAATTTCTCTTGCAAGCACGGAAAATCTTCGCCAGCAAAGGGTATTCAGTTCACTCATGGGTGGAAAAATTTGCAGCTTTTGTTGCAAAACCAGCGGGCCCTCTCAGGGATTTTCAGAGTTATTGAATTTATATACTAAAGAAACTAAAAAATACCCCCTTCCCGAAAGAAAATCCACTTGTAACTTGGTAAGATACTGTTATTTAAAAAATAGGTAATTTGTAAGAAAGCAGACTGTCCATGAGAAGAGACCCCCTCCCCCACATTGCCCACTAAATACGTTTTGTTTGTTTATATGGGCATTACATGCATCCTTTTTTATTTATCAATTTATTTATTTATTTATCAATTCATTTGTCTCTTTATTTATTTTGACGAGGTAAGTTATTATTAAACAAGCCGATGAAACAAGAATATCAGCAGTCTCATTTAACGTCATCATTTCGTAAGTTCTAAGGTCGATACAATGACCTTATCAGCAAATACAGTCTATCGTTAAGTCAAATACTGACGGACTTTTCTCGTACTAATTGTTAGGCTATTGTTTACACACTGAATTGTCGACGGATTTTTCCGTTATTTTCCGATCATGAAAAGGAGCACACGGCGGGTGTGACCGGTCGGCAGGGGATGCTCACTCCTCCATGGCACCTGATCCCACCTCTGATGTCTTAGAGGTCCGTGTTTGCTCTGCTCCTATTTTGTAATGTTTCATGGACTTTTGTGCCCGAATAATGTTCCTTATCTCCACATTTTTCTTTATACTGAATGTTTTTTACAAATATATATTACAGTGAATCTTGCGCGCATCAATTCTGTGCGGTCAATATTTTTTTGGAATATACTCGTCCTCAAGCAGTGTTGACTGTTGCTACGCTGGAGGGCGTGGCTTTATTATTCAGCGGATAATAGTGTTTTTTAACAAATATTTCTCGACGAATCAGATTCAAATAATTTACATGAAAGTATAATATTATAAATAGAGTCTTCATCATATTTCGGTAAAGGGCTTCAAATGTAGAGCTGCACTCGGGACTCGGGGCTATTGAGTAGTGAGGGTTCTTTATCGTGCCAACGCCTACTGTGACACGAGACCTCGGTTCCTAAGATTTCAACCGAACGACCCCTGGCTTTCACTTCTATTTCCGGGCGCTTGGCGAAGGAACAGTCACTACCTTTGTTTACGTCTTAGTTTTGACATGGCGCGGCGAACGAGAATCGAACCCGAGCCTCCCGATCACCAAGCGAATGCTGAAAGGTTTTAAAGGAGTAAAGATAACAAGTTTTTTATTGCAAATGGGAAACTCCTTGAGGGGAAAAGTTCGTATACAAAAAAAAAAAAAAAAAAAAAAATACCCAAAAATGTTTCGAGGAGTACATTTTCATGGACTGTAAATCCTTTCGATTAATTTAAAAAAAAGAAACAAAACCACTCAGCGGAAATTATAATGTGATGAACAGAACAATTTCAATAGGTCTCTCCACAGAAAGGTGCAAAGATGAAAAAACCTAATAGAGAAATGAAACCTTGTAATAATAGAATGGTCTTACGCTAAAGACAGAAGACCCAAGCGCTGAGACGAAAGACCCTAATTAGAAGATAAAAAGGAAATTGAAACAAATGCAAAATAGGAATTTATTATACCAATTATTAAAATAATAATTAAACCAATTATCAATTCAACGGTTTAAATACTAGTATCAAGGAGTGTACAAAATGTTAAATGACATATTACATGTGTATGTAAGTTCAGAACTAGAAGCGTTGAACATTCTGAGATATAAATTCTGAATGGAGTACACTGTACAGTCATAAGAGTTAATAAGGTCCTTGCAGTTGAAAACAGATGTAAGAAAAACTGGTGTTATTTTCCTTTTTAATACTTACTTGATTGAACTGCATCCAGTAGATCCCTGTTGAGGTGGAATTCCAGTTAATTAGTTCATCTTTCCATTTGACATATAAGTATGCTGTTGTAACCAATTTCTGGTCCACAGCGTTTACATCATTAACACCACACAACCATAGACTAGTCTCCATTTTCAGTGAAGCCCCTTGGTTTTTGATAGGCCTGATCTTACTTGAATAATTTGCGAGTAGGGAATCTGTCAAGGCTTTGTAATCTTCAATGGAGTAGCTCAAATGGGTAGCCCTTGCTATATCCACACTAAACAAAATGCCCATCAGCTGAAACCAAATCATTTCATCGGTCTCTAGTGACACACGAAGTGTTTGATAGCTGTTGAAGGTATTAGGCAATATATCACAAAATTGGCAAATTTATACTACACGAAAGTCAGATTTACATTAATCTGTAATCCTTGTAGAAACAGAAGGTCAATGGTATTAATTTTCCTTCAATGAAATTTGCAGGAACTCTGCATATAATTTCTAAAGAACAGGACAAATTAATCGATTGAATGTATACCAAAAGAAAATAAGCTCGAAGCATTAGCATTGTGATTGTTGCAGTAAATTTCCCCGCCTTATCATTGATCACTTTCCATTGTTTCAAATTGAGAATTAAATTATTTGAGATTTAAGTTAGGATATATAGATTTCAGGAATGTTTTGGGGATGTAGTCCTTGAAAACTGCTATACAGCTTCAGAAAAAGAAAGCGATAAAAACTTTTTTAAAAAAGAAAATCTCTATAAATATAATTTAGATAAATAAAAATTGCATGATTTTTATGTGTGTTCTACAATAGGTTATAATTATCTCATTTTAATTAAAACTGCTTTTGGTAAAAAGAACATGTATTTTGATTCAAAAAAGAGGGTATGAACATTTCCTAAATGATTGTATTTTCTATATATAATTGATTATAAGTGAAAAAAATCTTTGAATAAATATCAATTCCTTCTATTTATAGTTTATAATGATAGTGAACCAAATAAATCTTTACTAAATTATTTAAAAATCGATTATCAAAATTTATTTTATATCAATAAAATAATGTTTAAATCAAAAAACATTGGATTCAAATCTTCTTAAAATATATTTAGTTTGATACAAATAGAGATAAATAAAATCTCTCTCTCTCTCTCTCTCTCTCTCTCGTAGGTAGTCTTGTAGTTTAATTTCGTTATTATTCCAAAATATGGATTTCGAGATGTATAGCCAAAATATTTAAGATAATCATGTTACGTCATTCTGCACATTCTTCTACTAGAGACACCAAAATATTTTTGGACAAATACGAAGTGTTCTTACCGAACTAAAAAGTTATACCCGTGCTGTATTTTATTAATTTTTTTTCAAAATATTAGTGCTACAGGAAAAAAATCTGTCTTTGTCCAATTGATGTAGAGTTGTTTTTCAGAATTTACTCCACACAGTTCTATCAGCCTTCTCACAATCATAAACAAAACAGAATACTGGTATGATGATAATTAATAAAGTTCTGACTAAAATCAAAAGTAGTCTATGTTATGTTGTATTGTACCATGTATTAATATTTTTATCTTAAACCAGACAAGCTTAATGAGACAAATAGTTAATTTCGTAATTTGTTTGAAAAATTTAAATCTTAATGTATCAATTTTAATTTTTAGTATGAAAAATGAGGTCCTCCTCACATCTAATGAAATAGGCCTACATGTATGCTATTAATGACAACTAAGTTCGTTGTATCTCTGACACATATGATAGACCTTTTTTGCAAATCTTCGAGAGTAATTTACTCTGCAAGAAAAACGAGCGAGAGACATTATACAAACAAGGGTGCTCTAAGGAACACATGAATCGCCTGCTATAGCATCATTAAAGACAAAACTAAAACTAAAGGGTGGTCATCTATTTTTTAATATTATACTAGCATTGTAGTTAAAGCAAAGAAAATATCCATAGATATGGAGACAGCGATAAAAAATATTATATGATAAAAGCTACATTAAATATAATTTAAAGTTAAATGAATAATCAAATTGAATTTATTGAAAATATTCATCCATTCATAAGAGTATATTTCAACAATACACACGATTCACGAGCCCAAATCAGTATACCGATGCTGAACTGAACATCAAACAGGATTTTCCCTCAAGTCCAGAACAACATCGACCTCAAAATTCATGACATAACAACGGTTCAGTGTATGCTTGAAAAATGGGCCATAGGTGAAGGTCAGATGGACTGTAAGCTATATTTTTCAATGTGTCTTATGATAAGCAGTGCACTTGCAAAATAGCACAAACGTACCTCAAAAAAGAAAGAATATTTGTATGTCGGCACTACGTTGTATTTTGAATAGTAGTTTAAAGGTGAAGTTTAAAGCTCACGAGGTCGGTAACCCTGGTATTTGCAAAAACCTTTCTTCCAAGCAATACATGAGCAAAATATCAAATCCATGCCTTCAACAGTTCTCAAAAAAATATTGTGTGACAAACGGACGACGGAGAGATTGAGAGAAGGAGGTGCGGATTGAGAGAAGGACAAACGGACAGAGAAAGGCCGAGCAAAATGGTCCCTAAGTGTCGCTCTGCTCTGCATGCGACACGAAAAGAGAGAAAAAAGTTTAATATGCTGAAGCATAAGTGAAAACCACAGTTGAAACAATGAATTCAAAAATTAACAAAATCCAGAACGCGAAAAAGTCAATGGCAGACGACACATCGTTCCATGACATTTCCGGTTGTTCTTCCATCTCTTCCATAGCTTCTTTCTCTTTTCCTTGTCTGCTTTTAAGGTACCTTTCATCAACTTCCATAACTTTATTGTCCATACAACATTTACACTTTTTCAGAAAACATCCCGATTCTGAGGAATTTTTTCCGCCTTCACATCTCAAGCGCCTTTCCATTCGTACTAAAAAGCAGAATACTTTTCCTATATTTCTCTCTGCAGTTCTGTGATGTAATCGGAGTTGTAAAGAGGTAATGATGAGAACAAATATGCCTATACACAGTTGCACAATTAAATAAACACTCAAAATTGAAACATTGTCCGAGTTTATCGGAAGCTCGCCGCTAACCATGGTTAAAAACACAGCAAATGTGAGAAATATTGTCACAGCATAACCCATTTTTTCTCCGGCATCGGCTGGAATTATAAATACAAGCAAATTCAAAACGCCAAGAAAAATAATTGGAAGGATCAAGTTCATGACATAGTACAATGGTTTTCGGCGAAGATTTATTATGAAATGTACATCTGTTTCGTAAGCTGATACGTCATATGTCGCATCTGTTGACGTCACTTCCCAAACACTATTTTCTACAAATTCATAAAATCCGACCTTGTCTGCTGAAACTGTTAGGTTGATTTCCCATCTGGAGTAACTCCATGTCTTAAAGCTGACTTTACACGACTGTTTGTCAAACGGATAATGGGAAATATCAATATCACATGATGATTCAAATACCATGTATGGATACCAATGTACAGTTCCGTCATAGTCCACAAACACATAGTAAAAATTACCTCCCAGGGGTTTAAATTCTGTGAATCCGTTTTTTAAAACAAGGTCAGGCATCCATAGATCCTTCTACAAAACAAAAACGCGAATTAAGTTTCCGAACTTTATCATTCTATTTTTTTTCAGTTTCAAGTAGATTTTGCTTCAGACTGTATATCAGCCAATATTCCTTGTAAGGTTTGTTGGGCAATCCGATATATTTTTGTAGTCAGTCACAACAAAACTAATGACTGTTTTGTCGAGGATTAATAACAATAAACTTAAAAAATAAAATCAATTACATAAAAGGATTTTCTTATTTGTTCATAATTCTCCTTCTCTCGTCCTCTTGTTTCCGGATTAACCTTAACATTTAAGATATTGATTTACTACGAAACTCTAATCATGATTTTTTTTAAGATTTAGAGCCTTGATTACATACCAATGTAAACTTTCCAAATACATGTAAGTGAATATGTATACAAGTACCATTTCCTTTTAATATAAGAAAAATTGCATGTAAGAATTAGAAATAAATATCACAATTTGAAGCTTATACCATAGATACATAGATAATTAAAGAAAAACGTTAACTCTGATTTACTATATTAATTTTTTTTTATATTATATTTTATATTATAGTTTACTGTAGTAAATTATAGTAAATATTACTTAACTATATTTTTTTTTGTTATGGATGTCACTGAAAAAGGCACTACTCTTAATTTAGTCGCAATATTGCCAGATAACATTTTTTGTTGCTCGGCGTTTAAAGAAAAATAGACGACTGGCACTTGACTTCCGTAAACAAATGACAGAGCGTCACTGTAGTTAAAGCAAAATAAATGTTTATGGTGTGCTTTAATTTAAAGTTTTAATATAAAAGTTAAGAAAATGGCTTGCATGCCCTTTATGTTATCCAAGGAAAAATTATCTAAATTTGACTAATCTATATCAAAATAGTAAAAAAATAATCCGTAAAGTTAACAAAAATTTCTGATAATCTTTTAACTAATCTAAATTTCACCTTTATTTTAAATTTTATGGGATGGCATATTGGAGCTTAATCGTTCAAAATGAAAATCTTAGACAATGCACACGTCAAAAGACGATTATGTCGCTGTTAAGAGTTAGTAGTTTCAGCTTTTAAAATTGTTTGAAAGTAGGAATCATGTAAAATCAGAGGTGGATGCATTTAAGGTTAGGGGCCCTTAGGAATTTTATACGGAGTATCAAATTTACTTTCACACAAGAAATAAATGATGTGCAGAATTTAGTTATATATCGAGCATTTTGCTTTTGATCGACTAGACCAAAAAAACAAAAAAAAAAACAAAAAAAAAAAACGAAAATCATTGAGTGATTATTGTTTGGTGCCTAATCGACAGTATTTCTGATATATTTCGATGATAAAATTGATTTCCTTTGACCGCTTAAAAATAATAAGTTTATTCTAAAAAGCAAAAAAGCCCTATAACTAGGCAAATCTAATATAGATATATCTGCCATTTCACAAAACAAGAGAAAGAAAGAAAAATGTGTTTATCAAATTAATTCATTTTAATCCGTAAAACTGCAAAACGTAGTCTTGATCCCCTTTATACTTTTTGTAATTTTTCTTCACATCGTGGGAAATGACGCCTTCTTGTATATTTCTGTGTGTCTATGTCGACAGACGGGCCAAGACTAAAAGTTTGGATATGTTTGTATGCTATTATAGTAGGGGTTTTGTTACACGGACTCACCGAACAATTGCTGTCACAAAGGTCGTAATGGAATCTTTACAGTTGAATAACTCGAAACAACAAATAAAGGATGAAGGCAGTGATGGATATGTATTTTGCGATAATACACCAGCATATTGCATAAACAACTAACTAAAAGATATATTCGGTCATTCATTCAACTATTTCGTGCATTATTAGAGAAAAGTTCGCTTAGAACAATGAGAATAAATCCTAGATTTTTCTCAAATCTCATCTCATGTGAGGCAAACTTCAGAAATATTGGTTCAAAGCGTTTTAGAAAAATCTCAGCTGAAGCAAAAATCCAAGATTTGAGGCTGTGATTTGAGGTGAGATTTTTTTATACGTTTCTGACCCCGGTAATTTTTTTTTTTTTTTTGGTTACTGGTTATTGAAGCAATGTTGGATAAACTGAGGATCTTAGACAATGTTTATTTGCAGACAATCAGTATCTCACTGTTATGGACTGTAGAGAGCAGCCCATAAATAAAGCTTGTCATTGTATCTACATAAATTCTGGAGACAAAGAATAAAAGACGTTCGGATCACTTCTGGTATACCGGTCCTTATAAATATGGCGCTAAAATAGGTGCCGCCGAAGGCAGTGTACAATGTAATACGATCGCATCAGCGATTGTCAAAATCGCTTTTGAGGCCATAATAGCAAAATTAAGCCGGAATTCGTATTCCTTGTAAAAAATGTGTGTTTAAAAAAATAAACACATACTACTAGGAATTAGGAATATATTTTGTAACATCAATTACAAATCTGTTTGATATATCAAAATATCCAAAATAAAGAATACAAATTGTGAATTTAAAACAAAAAGATTATACTAATTGTTCTTTCACAGTAAGAAAAATATAAGGAGAATTCTTATTTTAAAAAAAAAAATAGGAATTAAACAAATGCAAAATGAGAATAACTTAAACAAATTAAAAGATGAGGGATAATCATTAAAACATTACAAATATCATTAAAATCACATCATTTCAAATATCATATTATATAATATTGAGATGTCGTACTTTGTAAGATATAAATCTTTAACATAGAGAAGATACATGATCAAAAGATTAGTTTGATTCCTTTTAACTGAAGACAGATGTAATAGAAACAAAATTAATTTTCTTTTTAATACTTACCTGATTAAACTGCATCCAATAGATCCCTGTTGAAGTGGAATTCCAGTTAATAAGTTCATCTTTCCACGTGGCATATAAGTATGCTGTTGTCACTAGTTTCTGGTCAACAGCGTTAACATCATTAATGCCAATCAACCACATGCTCGTCTGCATTTGCAGAGAAGCCCCTTGGTTTTTGATGGGACGGATTTTACTGGAATAATTAGAAAGCAGGGACTCTGTCAAGGATTTGTAATCTTCAATGGTGTAGTAAAGATGAGTAGCCCCTGCTGTACCTAAACAAAATAAAAGTTTCATCAGCTGAAACCAAATCATTTTATCAGTCTCGAGTGGCACATGAGATGCATAAAAAATATTAAGCAATATATCCCCACTAAGCTGGAATTTATACTGTTAAAAGCCTTATTAACATAAATCAATCATCCATGTAGAAACAAAAGAGCAATAGTACAACATGTACGCTAGCTGAACTTTCAGAACCAATGTAATCACGTATTAAAATACGATAAAATGAGTCCAATCAATGTACACGAAAATGAAAAACACAAATGCTTTATTAATGCCTGTGTTGCAGTAGCTCACCACGTCTGATAAATTTCCCTTTCCAAATATATGCAAATAATGAGTCATTGTGAAAATGATCACATATTTCTTCGAAAGCATTCAAACACATTCATTTAATTATTCAAAAGTTTTTGGTCTTTCAATGATTTCAGGTTTTAAAAAAAGCAATTATTTTGAATATGAATTCATTCAGAGGCTTGCTGTGCGATTGCTAAATTCTTTAGATGCAAATGAGTAAAATATCTTTCATAGACTCAACACACACACACACCCTCACACACACACACACACCCTCACACACACATATATATATTCAGTGAATAGAATCAAGGGCTAATAGAGGAATGTTTTTCGGAGTTGGTTTTTGCTTAATTGCCAAAAATGTATTTTGTTGGTGAGGAAAGGTGTGTGATCTCTTTTCATGGCCAATTTACTTTCCTATATATTATCTTACCAACTTATGAGAGCTTTGCTGAGTTTTTCAAGGTAGAATAAATGTTACTTATTAGTTATTTTTCTACATAAATTTAATTCTCTGACGATCCTAACCCCCCTATGATCCATTACTGAAAATGCAAGTATGGACTAAATCATTTTCTGTGCTTGCAAGAAAGAAGTTTATTTTCAGATGATATCATCATAATTGTTAAAATTAATTTTTCATTGTTTCTAAAACATATATAATCAATAAAAATGAATAATTACAAATTGTTCTGCTCAATGTAGGTATTTTTTGATTTATTTTCCGTAGGGCACGGCGCACGCATGACGCATAATGATTTTGTATCGATCATATAGGCAGTAATATTAGCAAATACAATTTTCTTGGTTTCATCTGCCATCTATATTAATCAGTTCAATTTGTTAAGAATCCTTGGAAAATCAGATTATTAATCAGCAGTTATTATAATAAAGAAAAGGGAATACAAGACAAAATGATTGGTCGATCTTATATTAAACATAATCCGATCATCTCATTTGTAACCGGTCAATAGGGGATGCTTACTCCTCCTAAGCACCTGATCCCACCTCTGGAAATTTTGAAGGTCCGTGTTTTACGTTCTGTTCCAAGATTTGTGTTATTTGTAGATTTTTAAAGATAGATCACTGGACATTATTTCCAACCATTTTCTATAGTAGGAGATTTAAACAATAAAATGCTTTCTTTGGTTGTCAGTATGGAATTAATGTTGCAGCTGTTGCAGAAAAATACATAATCCAGCACATTAAGTATTTTTCCTGCAATAGTTAAAATGTTAATTCCGATACTAACAAATAAAAAAGAGACATTTTATTGTTTATATTTATGTTTGTATGAATAATCAATAAAGTAAGATTAAGTACGTTATAAATTGTATGATTGATATGTTCGTCATTTATAACATTGTAAAGTGTATGTTTCATCGATTGGAGATCCACTGCTTAACAGGTGGCTTGTTTAGCGGCATTAAGGTTTTGATAAACGATCTCTGTTTTCATAAGAAATAAAGGAGATAATATTCAGTGGATGTAAATATTAAGCAATGACTTGTTTAATATACTTCTTGGATTCTAAAACAAAGGACCTCTTAATTAATCCATTTCAAAACTTTGTTTTTGCAATTTAATGAACAAAAAAATTAATTTTGAACGATTGATAGTGTCTTAAAATACATTCAATTATTTACCAAATCCAGTCATTAATATTTATTATCCCCTACTTTGATTTTTTTGGTCAAAACATTTGTTACAGGTCCTTGTAGAGGTTTTTGCAGACCATTTGTACTTTTAAAGGTTAATGTGTTTCATTCTTCAGTTACTAATCTGATTTGAAATCTAATAATATTACCAGTGACCCATACTTTACCTATGCAGATTACTTATCGTTTCCTCATCTTCAACTCACAATCACCTTTAGTAGTAATATAATGCAGCACTATTAAATTTTACATGTGCATTTCGATATCAATGCAAGGGACTCTCTATATAGCTAGTTCTATTCTGTAATCATCATAAGGTATTACCCAACCTTAATTTCTACTACTAATTACCTTGGCAGCCATTTTTATAGTTTTAATGTAAATCGTCATTTACAAATGAGAACCTATATATGAGACTAAAATGGTTATCAATGAATCAATATTATGCAGATAAATATTTATAAGCGATATTTTAAGAAAATAAGCGTCAATGTGTTTTAATTGTGATTGTTCTGTTCCTTACCATTTTCTTTTTATTTTGTATCATTAATTGTAATCTCTTAATAATAATATAAATTTATGTTTGATCATATTTAATCATGCAATAACCAACTTTACTTTACTGTTGTAGTTCTTTTTTATGTGTTACCATAAACGATTTTTCGGTTAAAAGGTCTATATTAAGAACAAGGATGTAAACAAACAATTGGTTTATTTACCAAAATGAAACAAAAAGTCTATTTTACCTTGAACATGATCAACAGCTGATACCTGAAACAAAAACTGAAAATTCAAAAGCAAAGCAACCACGTTATCAAGTGACTGCGTTTTGTCTTTTTCGACAAAGGTAGGGAGGTTTTGTCTAAATTCAATCGTGCTTTTAAGTTGACTGAAGCAAGATAGGAAAGAACAGCTATTTGATACTCAAATATACATAACTGTGCATTTTAACTCTTAGCTAAAACGTTATTTATTTAAAACTCAAGTCAGATCAAAAAGTAATTAGGGCAGAAATATCAAAAACTGAGATTGATTGCAAAATAGAGGAGAAACCTTTTTCAAAATATCATACCATACCATAGTCCGAAATATCTGACGTTTTCCAGCCTTTTTTCACGATTTTGATATTTTACGTGCCAGGAAAACATCAGAACCGGCGCCATTACGAAAACTGGAAATTTCGCCGTCTCCAATTGGAGTTGATTTTAGATACCTTGGAACCGAATGAAATGCTGTTTTCACAATTTATCAATAGCACAATGCTTCTAGTACTTGATAATCTCGATGAAAAGAAAACATCACTCATCATTTCGATACAGGACTTCAAAGATTTTAAAATGCACGAAATGAAAACAAATCTCGACAGTCAAATAAAATGTTTTCATCGGATTGCATATTTTATAAACAAACCATTAAAACGATGTTGGTGAGTACTAAAAGCATTGTACTATTGATAAATTGTGAGTTTTACATTTTATCCGCTTTGCAAGTATCGAAAATCAACCCGAGAATATACTGGAGATACCTGTCCCTCCATAGCAAAACAGGTCTGCAAGAGTAAATCAACTTTTATTGATTACAAAACTTTGAAATACTCTTTAAATCCAATATTCAGGATATATGTCAAAATGTCTCTAAATACTGGTAAGCCTAAGAATAACAAGAACTTTGCTACAAGCAAAACCATGGGTCAGGGCTCAGGAGCCAGAAAAGGTAGTGGTCTAAATTCTGCTGTATCCTCTAGTGGACAATCAAGACAGCCTAGTAATAAGAGATTCAGAGAAGGGAGTGAGTCAGGGACATCCTCAGGAAATATTACCTCAATAGATGACACTAATCAGGATCTATCCCAACTTAATTCTCTGCTAGATCAACTCACCAAAGATGAGGAAAGCACCAAGAAAGTGATAAACATTATTCTTGGAAAACCTACAATAAAGTCTTGTATTAGTGAGCACTTCATGTCAGAAATATCTGACATACACAATGAAATGAAGGAACTGAAGAACAGGGTGGATAGTATGGAGCAGTATTCACGGCGCACATTCCTAAAATTTTCTGGAATACCTGAGGAACAAGGGGAACAAACTGACAACATTATTCTAAAGATTACAAATCAGCTCATTCTTCCCTCAGACAAACCCATGGAAATACATCAAATCAGCAGATCTCATAGAGTAGGCCCACCCAGGGATGATAATGTTCCAAGAGATATTATAGTGCAATTTGTAAGTTACCGTGACAAAGCCAGAGTGTTTGGAAACAAGCGGAATCTGAAGAACTTTAATCAAAATCCATCCAACAGACACAAAATATTTATCAATGAGGCACTTACGAAGAAAAGAGCCAAACTCCTATTTGAAGTCAGGAAACTTGTAAAAAACAATCAGCTGGATAGTGCATGGACCTACGATGGGAAAATAATTGTCAAGACATTAAAGAAGAAAAAAATCACCATAGAGACCGATGAAGGCTTCCAAAAACTACAAACTTTTCTTGAGTCACCAAGTGATCCCTTGTCTCCTGAACTGCATCAAGATTTTGTGCCACTTACCTCAACTCCTGCTTACGCTGCCTATAGGGACTAGACGTCTTACGTATTGACTTTTGCCGATACGAATCAACCATTCGACGGCCGTAAACGTTGAAATTCCTTGCAGCATATTTGGTGCAAATCTGTCACTATTCCACGTGTGAAAACACTCCGGGTTAATGGAGCGCTTGTACACAGTTACTTGTATGTTTCACGCAGAGCAGACTAATTAACGAAATACATAACCAGGCCATGTATTTAACACACTGAATAGCTATTGTTATTCGCCATATACTACATCAATATGGTTTTCAACTTTACTGTATATACATGTATTTATATTGTATACTTTTTATTTGTTATGTTCTACCTTTTTTCACCAATTTTTTTCAACTCGATTCTAACTACTTCCCAAGGCTCAGTAGACTGCACTTTCTGTGTTTACATTTGTTCTATTGCACGCAAAGTGAAAGTTGTTAATTTTATAATGGTTGTGGCATTTCTTGACCATACCTATTTCATTTTTGACACAAATGACTGAGATTTACCTATATTATTTCCCACAACCATGCGGAAAACTATGTGTAAGGGATGGCATTTTTAAAGGTATGTCCCTATATTATAATTTTGTAATATATTATTTACTTATTATAGGAGGCATTGAAACCAATCCAGGTCCTAAATTGAACTCCAATATAAGAATTATACATAACAATGTTTGTAGCCTTCTCCCTAAAATTGACATTATATATAATGAGTTATGTGATTATGATATTGTTGCCATTACTGAAAGCCATTTAGATCATTCTATTACTGATAACGATATTGAACTTGATGGATTTCAGGCACCTGTTAGACTTGACCGTAACAGGCACGGTGGTGGTGTCATGCTTTATGTAAAAAATAACCTTAGTTTTAAGAAACGTGATGATATATTTACCTCCAATATTGAAATTATATGGGTTGAGATTGAAAATGGCAATCATAAATTTTTAGTTGGTGTTATATATAGACCACCAAGTGCAAAAACAGATTTTGTGAATCAGCTTGCACTATCCATAGAAAGTGCTTTGAATATTGAAATACCAATATTTTTATTAGGTGATTTTAACTTTGATATGTTAACTGATGGTAACAATGCATTTAAACACATGTTAAAAAATTTTTCTCTGTCAAATGTCGTTACAAAACCAATTTCTCAACATCAAAAGGTACATGTATTGATCTTATTATCACCAATGCTGTTGAAAGAATAGAAACTGTAAATGTCTTAACACCTTTTTGTAGCACACATAGTCCAGTTGGTGTTGATCTGCATTTTAAAACTTTCAAGCAACATTCATATAAAAGATACATAAGAAATTATGCAAATGCTAACTATACACAACTATGCACAAATTTGTCAAATGTTGATTGGGACAGGGAGGTATTTAATACTCACAATATTAATGACATATATGACAACTTTATGAAAGTATATAACTATTATGTTGACAAAAATATACCCAAAAAAGTAGTGACCATTCGACCTTCAGATAAACCATTTATGACAAGTGCTATCAGATGTAAGATGCGACAAAGAAATAGAGTACATTACAAGGCAAAACAAAATAATAACGAATACCAGTGGAGTAAATACCGTCATTTAAGAAATGAAGTAATAAGTATGGTACGTAAATCAAAACAGGTCTATAAAGAAAAAATTACTTCACAAATATTAGATAGAACAATTCCACCTGGGAAATGGTGGCGAATTGTAAAGTCTATTACTAAATTCTCTAAAAAACATATTAAACCCCCACCAATAAAATCCAGTGGTAGAATTTTTATACACCCTATTGATAAAGCTAATATACTCAATAAACACTTTGCAGAAATATCACATATTGATGTTAGCACAGAACCCCAATTACCTCCACAAGGGCCAGGTCCACCATATTCAATAAACACAATTCATATCACACCCCAAGATGTGGAGGATCAATTAAAAAATATCAACCCATCTAAACCCCCTGGACCTGATGAAATTTCTCCACATATACTAAAAAATATAATTCCTTCAATTACTGCACCCTTAGCAAAATTGTTTAATGCATCATTAACCAATAAACAGCTTCCTCATATATGGAAACTCTCAAATATTACACCAGTCTATAAAAATAAAGGGAGTCCTGAAGAGCCAGGAAACTACAGGCCAATTGCTTTAACAAGCATTCTTTGCAAGATTATGGAAAAAATTATATTTAAATATCTTTACAACTATATGCTAGAGCATAATCTTCTATCTAAAAATCAGTCTGGATTCCAACCTGGAGACTCCACTGTAAATCAACTTCTAGAGATATACAATACTATTATAAGCAGTTTAGACCAGGGTAAAGATGTAAGATTTGTATTCTGTGATATATCAAAGGCATTTGACAGGGTCTGGCATAATGGATTATTATATAAGCTTAAGCAAAATGGTATTGTAGGAAATTTATTGGACTGGATTGAAAATTATCTTACTGATCGTGAACAATAAGTTTTATTAGAAGGGTACTCCTCAGTTAGAGAAAGTATAAATGCAGGTGTTCCACAAGGCTCTGTATTAGGACCATTTCTCTTCTTAGTATATATCAATGACATAACTGTAAATTTAGAAAATCAAATTAGGTTATTTGCAGATGATACTTCTTTGTTTGTTATTGTAGACTCTGATACACTAGCTCCTACCCTCTCTTTAATAGATGACTTGGAAAAAATTAAACAATGGTCCAGACAATGGATGGTGGATTTTAACCCTAATAAAACTGTAAATGTTAATTTTACACGGTCAAATAAATCACAT